TTTGTTTTTAAAAAGTTATAACAATTTAAAAAATTTTATAATTAAAAAGTGATGGCTTTAGATGAAATCCACTGTATATATTAAAATTTAAAATTTGGCCACTTTATATATAAATATTAACTAAATTTTCAAATTGGTCTCTTCATATAAAAAATAAAATCTGAATTTGGCCGCTAAAAATTTTTATTTGCTGTGACTAGGTTGTCCGCACTGTAGCAAACAAAAAATTTTTTTGTAGATCATGTGACGCAGATCTCATGATCCACAAATCAGATTTCAAGGATCGGGTGTAACGTAACGCGATCAGAAAATTTCAAAACAAAATAAAAATCGCTTATTTCTCAAACTCTGATCGACAAAACCTGGCACAGATCTTTTGTTTGCAACTTCGAGAAGTTAAGTATAATCAATGTTTGAATTGGGTAATTTAATGTGTTCAAAGACTAGAATACGTTCCGGTCACACGAGACAAACAACGTGACGTATTGACAACCCCCGAGTAGCTGGTTGACTTCGCCTTGACCAGTGATAGTGGACTTCGCCTTCCCTCGGCGTCTTTGAACTAAGAGCTAGAATACGTTCCGGTCACACGAGACAAACAACGTGACGTATTGACAACCCTCAAGTAGCTGGCTGACTTCGCCTTGGCCAGCGATAGTGGACTTCGCCTTCCCTTGAGCGCTCTTACATTTTATTACTATAACGTTTAGTCCTTCAGTAATAAGCAGTTTTAAAATTAAATCATTTTATACTAATGCCATTCCCTCTTTTAAAACGAATGAGAAAACTTCTTTAAGTGTGGAAAATGGTCGATAAAAAACTGCATGAGAACAAAATTGAACTTGAAAATGTTGGTAAATTCTTATCTATAAATTTTAATGTTTTAACAGAGAACTTACTTGATTGCACCAAATAGCTAGATTATGCAAAACGTGCATTGAAAGACACAAACAACGAAACACGACTTATACGTGCTGTAACAACCAATAGAACGATAGGGTTACTAAAGCATGGATTAGAAAGTCAAGTTGAAAAATCCGAAGGTTATAAACATCAATATCAGGAAGAGGTACAGTTAAAGGTTATTAAAAGTTGTGAGAATTGGTATAATTAAGCCAGACCGATTAGATTCTCTGGTTTACATATCCCTTCCCTCCAGAATCTCTCCCCCTCTCATAGCAAAAAAAAAAAAGTCCATATATATAACAATAAAAACCCCCTCCCCCAGAAGGTAGAGGAAGGTAATGTAAAACAGAGAATTAAATTGGTCTGGCCTTAACTATTGCCATTTGTTCTTAATGAACTGCAATTTTAATTAATCCAGGTAAAGCGAAGAAAAGTCGACGACGAGAATTACCAACATGGCAAATCTTCCTCTCCAGTACGAACACCCGAACATCAAATAAGTTCTTCAAGTTTATTCGTTCCCTTAACCCCGAGTGAAAGTATCGATAAAGAAACTGAAAACGATAATTTTGACGCATTTTACATTTGATGAATTTGTAGATGGGAATGATGCTCCAGTACGAACTCCCGAACATCAAATAAGTTCTTCAAGTTCATTCGTTCCCTTAACAACAAGAATTGAAAGTGACGATGAAGAAACTAACAGCGATAACTTCGACACAAATAAGCGAGATCCTAAAAATTTTACATTTAATGAATTTGTGGATGGGAATGACGAATATGTGGATGATATGACGATGTAATTTTCTTAGACAGGTTACGTCCGATAAGGATGTCAACAATAATCCTGTATTTTTTTTTCGTTTCTACAAGTCAATGAATTTTATCTTTTGCTAAGATACGTATTCTATGATTAATTATCATAATTGTGCTTTAGAGCACTAGCTGTTAATTGTTGTTACCGTTATATTATATGTAATATTAATGAAATCTATGCCATTATATGTATATATTTAAAGTAATAGATGTTAATATACATACATTATACTAATTTCAAGCATTCGAGCTATTTATATATATATTTTATTTATTCATTATTAAATTTTTATCTACGAAGGTTAATCATAATCTATGCCATTATATGTATATATTTAAAGTAATAGATGTTAATATACATAATTTCAAGCATTCGAGCTATTTATATATATATTTTATTTATTCATTATTAAATTTTTATCTACGAAGGTTAATCATAATCTATGCCATTATATGTATATATTTAAAGTAATAGATGTTAATATACATACATTATACTAATTTCAAGCATTCGAGCTATTAATATATATATATTTTATTTATTCATTATTAAAATTTTATTTACGAAGGTTAATCATAATTATTGTCGTTATGATATCATTAATTGGTTACGGCATGTTACGACATTGATTAATTAGTTACGGCAAGTTACAACGTTATGGTATTGATTTATGGTTACGGAACAATGGGATTATGTGATTTTTGCCGCAACCGTAACCGTAACTTGTCGTATGCCGTAAAATTTCATTGGGACGATTCGCCTGCATCACTAGTCAGGTTTATCAATTGTGACAGACTATCACGAAATATTGTAAGTTTTAATCTTGAGAATATACTCTTTTTTGTACAAATAATCAGTTAATGTTTATTTGAATTGTCAGGAGCTTATCCCACATCTTACTACCTACAAGCCGACAACTTTTCTAACCTATAAGTCCAAGAATTTTCTAGAGATACATTAGAACAATTACATAGAAACATCCAAGCGTGAAAGCAATATTTAGGAAGTATATCGAGGTACTATATTAATATGTTCATATGGGCGCATTTTCATTAATGTGATATTTTCGAACTGCACATCAATTTTGTGATTATTTTGAATTTAAATCAATCAAGTTCTTCCTATTTTGGATGTGCAAGCAGTGATCCGCGCAGTAGGTGCAGCGTATATCAAAGCGCGTATAAATTTCTTTTTTTGTGCATTTTTGCGTTTGCGCCAATAAACATTTTTTGAATTTATAACACTGTGTGCAAGATGTTCACAAGATGATCTAAAAAGGAAATAATTATGAAACCGGGCCGAATTATGCTGGCTATGGGCCAAATTATTATTTTTTACAATGTACGTACGTACGTTTACATGATTTTGTCAAATTTCAAATGATCATCATATGTGTCAAATCACCCATATGTTATCACTTCAAAAAGCCGTTTATAATAACTTCGTTAGTTTTGCCACATCAGACTGTTCTTGATGAGGATCTTGGATTGAAAGAGGCAAAAAAGGCTGTAACAAGATCATTCGCAAAGTCTTTTGAAGATCCTGCTGATCAGGAAACATTCGATAGAATGCAGGTTGCAATTGTGTAAGTTCAACCATATCCCGAAGTTGTTTGTTATAATAATACTTATTTCCTCTTGACCTATAGAATGGAAATATACCTGTTAATCCGCTAAATGATTCTATCAGTGAGGGCACACTGACTGTAAATATAATTAGTCCAATATTACGTTCCTTCATTCATGGTGCATCAATACATTCGACTACATGGCCAAACACTGCCAGCATGAGTGCAAAGATCCGTAAACTTGCTAACTTGGATCCTTCAAGGGCAAAACAACCAGATATGATTGGTAAAGATGTTAATAACAACAATCTAAATATGAAATGATGTTCGGAGAGAAGGGAAAAACAATTTGAAGAAAAATAACTTGGATCTTATTAGGTTAGACATTTTTATGAAATATGCTCTTGATCTCCTCATTAAGAATACAAAGGAGAGTCGTATGGTTTTTGTGTGGCAGGCGATTGGTGAGTGTTCAAGTTATATTTACATATAACCATAATATTTATTATTGCTCACATGATTATTTTATGCTAGTGACATTATAATGATTTTAATTGCACCGGTGCTCTATATTATGATTGATGTTGGACAAATTGAGTTTCCCAAGTCATTTCAAACCTGTGGACAATTCATTGACAACATTGATAAATTATTCGCATTCACGGTATGCAATTCTTAGAATTTTTTCAATTCTTACAAAAAACTTATAAATATTGTAACATTTGTTGACAATCCTAGAAAAAATATAAATATGAAATACAGAAGCTTCGTGACGATATGAACAAAAAGAAAAAAGTCATCGGTATTCCTGAAGAAATCATCAAGTAGTTACGAGCTACACTGGGAACACCCCTGTTTTAAAAAATAGTCAAAGAACGTTCATAATAATAGCTCTAGTGTTTTAAAAATTTAATATTATTCATTATTATCTAACTTGTTGCTAATTATGTATGTAAACGGTTGTGCCAAAAAAATAAAATAAAATTTTGTAACAAAATTATCTCAGTCTTATAATTTTATGGCGAAAAACTTATTGTCGCAAATGTTGGAAGAGTATGAGAGTCCACTGGACTCTTTATTTATAAAAAATATTTTTATTTAGAGGCCTATAATACCATTTTTCCATTTTTTCCGTATATGTATATGCAGTGTAATATGGTGGACTGGATCGAATCAACTTTGATACTGCAAGTAGTTTTGTGCAGGTGATCTGCAACTAAAATTTCCTCGGCAAGTGTAATGTTAATGAACCGGGTTCGAATCTGGTTCAAACTAGTTTTTTTTTAGTAGTTCGTCCAAAGAAAAATTAACTGAACCAGTTTCATAATCTAGCTCATATAGACTTGGTTTATATAAACCCAGTTTATAAATCTAATTTATTAAACTGGTTTAAAAACCTGGTCTATGAACCTATTCAAAATAGGACCTGTAAAAAAACATTTTATTAATCTGGACAAGTAATTACTTATTATTACTTATTATGTAAAAAAATTAGTACAGAAATAATTAATTAATTTTATTTTTGCTAATTTTTTTATGTAATAGGTAATTGCCTTGCCTATCTCCAGAAAATAGTGCTGTTGGGAAAAGGATTGTAGGGAGAATAATTGCCAGGGAAATAATACTGTCACGAAAAAATTGTCAGGGAACTGGTAGAAGATTGAGTACCACCGCATATAT